AACCCACAACAAAATGGAACTGCCGAAAGAGCTAATCGCAGCATTTTGGAAAAAACAAGATGTATGTTGTATGATTCCGGCTGCAACAAAAGATACTGGGCTGAAGCAGCTCAAACAGCCGTATATCTTTTAAACAGATCACCTCACAAGAAACTAAAGAATCAATTGCCTGGAGAAATATGGACAGGAAAAAAGAATGATCTCTCCCATATAAAAATTTTCGGATGTCCAGCGTATGCACGTTTACCATCACAGAAACGCCAAAGACTGGATGCTGTGAGCAAGAAGTACATTTTTATGGGATATAGTGAGGAAAGTAAAGCTTATCGGTTATCAGATCCCCGCAATCCGTCTCAAATAATTGTGGCAAGAGATGTAGAATTTCTGGAAGAAGAAATAACAAACAAGACAAAGAAACAAGTTTCATCATGGCCACTTGGAAGCCCTTCGCGAATATTGATAGGCTCAAAGGACGCGAAAATTATAGAGAATGGTGCTTCGATATTCAAAATATTCTAGTGATTGAAACTGTGTGGTCAGCAGTCAAAGGATATCCTGCAGAAGACTCAACGCCTATATCCATCAAGAAACAAAAGGACGAGAAAGCAAGAGCCATCATTTGTCTGACATTAGAGCCCCAAGTTAAATCTTACGTCGTCCAGACAACAACAGCAAAGGAAGCCTGGGACACGTTGGAAAGAACATTCAAAGAGCACAAATCAGTTAGAATACTTATCCAACTATTGACTCCCTGATCTTTGAATGTTCTTTCCAACGGGTCCCAGGCTTCCTTTGCTGTTGTTGTCTGGACGACGTAAGATTTAACTTGGGGCTCTAATGTCAGACAAATGATGGCTCTTGCTTTCTCGTCCTTTTGTTTCTTGATGGATATAGGCGTTGAGTCTTCTGCAGGATATCCTTTGACTGCTGACCACACAGTTTCAATCACTAGAATATTTTGAATATCGAAGCACCATTCTCTATAATTTTCGCGTCCTTTGAGCCTATCAATATTCGCGAAGGGCTTCCAAGTGGCCATGATGAAACTTGTTTCTTTGTCTTGATAGCGGCGTCAGTCCAAAGGATCACTTTTAAATAACACTTTTCACTTCTGTACTTTTTACACTTATCAATGATACAATCCTGGGCCCATAACCTGTTAGTTTTACATCACCAAACCACGCTCTGCTACCATAACACAAGGTTCGTGAATAAGTGCTATATCTGCCTTACCCTCAGTTAGTTGCTGGCACAGAGCTGCCGTGGCAGCTTTGCTGTGATGTAGGTTAATTTGAAGAAATTTCATGGTGCTAGTGATCTCTTCCAATTGGAGAGGGGTCAGTTTCCATCTTATGTCCCTCTCTGTACTCAGACTGGGTGAAGAGATCCCTTGACCCGCTTTGTTTTGGTCATCTGGTGGGTGGGTATCTCATCCCCCTCCCCCTCAGTGGCCGAGTTAGAGGATACTGTATCTGTCACAGGTTATGCCCGGTGCTGAATTTCAGAATCATTCAGCACCTTAACAGCCCCCTGTGAAAGTCCTGTAAATATTTTGTAACTGGTCCTCTGTTTAATAATATGGTAGTCCCGGTCTATGAATAAGATAAACCTCTGGCCTTTTGACTCAGATTGCTAATCGAGTACCCTCCAGTTCTCAGTATGAAGTCCTGGATTGAGGTCTGCAAGTTTCAGCAGCTCTACCTGATTCTGGGCAATTTTGTCCCTAGTCCAGAGAGCCACTTTAACAGGCTTGGGCAGGTTCCTGGCATCAGTAGCCTTCAGCCTGGCCCCTGATTCCAGTGTGTGGTTGTCAATGGCTTTGGTGAGCCACTGACCAGACTGTTGGTTGGTGCACCATAAATAAGTGCACCTCCCACTAGTCTGTAGGATTTCAGGTGTGGTAGTTCTCCCTTTGGAGTCCTGCGTAACACCTCCCCCAGTGCTTCCAGAATAGAATTCTGGTCATCTTCGGTAAGCTTGTCCTCAGGATAAGTTTCCTTTATATTGGTCAGAGCCTCCTTGTAAGTTCCTGGTCCCTTAGAATCCCCGGGTCTTTTCGGAGTTCTGGCTGTTTCTGTAGGGGGACTGCCCTCTGACCTTGGCCCCTTAAAGGTGCCGGTGGGGGTTTACTCCCTGCTTGGATGAGCCTGAATTTCCTGGTTGCTGACTGCCACCCAGTTCCTGCTTTGCTTGCCCCAGCTCTTGCCTTTTTCAACTTCCATCTTGCCTATCCAGACAAGTCTTTTTTCGCTAGATGGGGTCACCTACTTTAGAGACTAGGTGTCCCAGTCCTTCTCCTGCTGCAGATGTGTTGGAGATACTAGTTCCCTGCAGTGGTGTGTCAGCACTACTGACTCCCAGGAGCGTAGTTTTTGGTCTTACCGCAGGCAGGTTTTGAACCACTGGTTCATCCCTGCCTTTGGCTGAAATTTCAACAGCAGGTTCGCTGGTTTCAACTGGGCCCCTTAACGATTCACCAGAGTTTCCAGCCCCCTGATGAAGCATTTCTCATAGGGATCCCCTTGGAGGGGGGTCCCTCTTCAGTTTAAGGTCTATACGACCAGTTTTTGATTTGGTTACTTTATTCATTCCAGTCTCACGAGTCATGGGGCTTTAAAAGGTCACCACCTGCAGCGCCCCGTGGAAGGCATAGATGCAACGGGATGCTGCCTGGTGCCCCAAGGGGATTGTTCTCGACACTGACAAATTACCACCCCAGTGCCATGCATCCCTCAGCACAATGCCTCACACCTTGGCTTACGTGGTTTGGTCCTGTTGTGAATGCAACCCTCACAAGCCTCCAGGACCGAGAGTGCCTGTTTGGAGGGAGAGGGCTATCACAGACGATAAATGGGAGTGCGACACCAGTTAGTCATGAGGTTGCAACCAGGGCAACCTACACGAGAAAGTTGCCCCTGGGGGTTGCTTATAAGCTCCCCCATTCCCACCCCACCACATGGGTTGGTCGAACCGTTTTAGAGTGTTGAGCCCTAAGGCTTGCGGCACCTTACCGGTGCTCTAGGGAGACAACTCAAATAGCCGAAGCTACCCCCATAAGAGTGCTCTCCTGCATTTGTCCCGAATACACCTTATAGAAACCCAAGAGTCATTATGCCGCCATGTGGGAGGCTGTGGTCTAAATGCCATCGCCCTTAATGGGAACTCAGCCACCAGCCCCGGAAGGTCATACTGATCCAGACCCCGAGACTGTCATTGCCCGGCGGGACCACGAGGAGGTGTTCCAATGCATCCCTGGTCCATGATGCGTCCCCATCAAAGACAGAGCCATGGTTCAGCCAACCTCACTGAGGATGGCGTCATTACCACCTGTAACATGTGACATAAGAAAGTCACAGTTACCCCGGGATCAAACCCAGGCCACCCAGTTGTGATTTGATCAGGTGACCTGCTAGATCAGCATAGACATGTTCATGTGGGAACATCAGTTTTGGTTGTTTTTAATTGTATTTATAAAGTTTTAATTTGAAATTAATTTAATTTACATATGTATGAAGCAGGAATTGGGAATGAAAACTGTTGTGCGAAACTTTATGTGATGTTGTATTTTAGCTTCCTGTTGCACTGATTTTCATCCATGATATGTATGTAGTGTCCGTCTTTTAGTGCACTCAATTTCACTTGTTATTTCACAACATGTTTCGGCACTATAGTGCCAACATTACAACACCTGCAACCAAAAAGGGAACACACAACACGAGACACGATATACACTGAGAGTAAGAGGAACGACTCCCATAGTGGTGGAACTATGCGCGGTATTAGAATTGGGACAGATAAGATAAATAATCTTAACAAGTTTCTGGTATATATAAAATTTATTATAATTGACGAACATTTTTAAATACCTTTTAAATTTTACAATGACATAATGGCAAGCAATGAAATAGATTAACGTAAATGGAGCACCTGATGATGGCACTATAGTGCCGAAACATATTGTGAAATAACAAGTGAAATTGAGTGCACTAAAAGACGGACACTACATACATATCATGGACGATTTATGTGATGTGTTTGCTCAGGTGTGTTGTCCAGTGAGGGTCAGGCTGTGCGTTCTCCTCGATTCAGCTTGAATGGTGAACACTTGGTGTGGCTTCAACGTCCAAGTGGTGGTCCTCACAATGGAGCACATAAACTTATGTGCTGTGAATGGAACTCAAAGCAGGTTTGTGCATTGGTCCCTTATATTCTGGAATAAGTTATTTGTTTCTGGATATCTCTGTCACTGTTCTTTATGCTGTGGGATGTTGTACAGAACCATATACTTTTCTAGGTGATTTAAGAAATTGATTATAGTCAACTCTCGATTATCCGGGGGCGGATTAACCGGTTTTCGGCTTAACCGGGGCTACTGAGGCTTTTTTGAGGCTTATATGTTGTTTAATATTCATTCACTTTTGTTTCACATGGTGAGTTGTAACACGATTTTCGCGCTAGTGTGAACCGAGCTCTGCATTCTTTGGTCCCGTTATGCTAACACAATGTTCTAGGGTAGGGGTGAAAGAATGCAAGGATTTGTGGAAAGTTTCAAGGACAGATACATCGCCCCAGTTAGTTTCTTTTTATCGATCTTCAAGTGCATTAGCAAAATGTCAGGGTGTAAAAGGAAGTGTGTTGTGTTAAGTATTCAACAGAAAAAGGAAAATGCCGTGAAAAAGTAAATGACAGTATTAAATTTTTTTAAGTGTTAAGTGTGAATATTCGTAAAAAGTGTTGGATGTTGTTGTAGAAGACTGTGATTGAAATAACTAATTCATACTTCAGTGTAATGTAAAAAAAGTATTAAATAGGGCATGAGATGACATAAAAATGAGGTTGAATAAATTTAAATACAGGTAGGCCTATAGTATTATGAAGGTACAGTATTACAGTACTACTTTTAATAAAATTTGTCTTAACCAGGTTTTCGATTAATCATGATTTCCATCCCCACCATTATCCCGGATAATCGAGAGTTGACTGTATTTATTTTTACAGTAAATTTCCAGCCAAACACTTTGATCCCCCATGTGCAAGCCAATAAGCATCAGCAAGTGTGTACACATAATAACAGCTGCATTACCATCTTATTTTAAAGTTTAAGTGTAGCAAATTATGAAAGTTGGTTGGTTGGTTTCCAGTGGCTGCATTTGGGATCATTTAACCCATTTTGCTTCTTGCTTCCCAATAGAGAGCAGTAAAGTTCATGCTTTGTTGCATCTTGAAGAAGTTTGCACTTTTCTTTTGGGAAGCTTTGCCAGGTTTGTTGCTCATTTTGCGCTACCCATTTTGCGACACGTATGACGTAGGAAATTTCATGCAACACTCATGCACAGTTTACCATTTGACTTATTCACTGTTAGCTGTGTTCTTCCTTGTGAAGCCGGATTCTAATGACATCAGAACAGCTTGGGAACAAGGTAGAGGGTAATATTGACAGTTGTTCAGTTTGATTTTCTCTTGTTGGTGACCATGAAGAGTTGTACTGCCATGTAGTTTGTAGAGAGCATGCCCTTTCTGAGGAGCACATTGCCTTGTCCTCAGCTTGGTGCCAGTTTCTGTGGGTTCTTTGCTTGTCTTCTTCTCTTCAGCACCGAAGTTGGAGTTGTTATGCTCCTCAAATGTTTCGCTATCATGAGATACATAATGTTACAGGCCATTGTCATGTGCTCAGACAACTGTAGGAGGCTTCATAAACAAAATTTATACATCGCCTCTTTTATGTATTTGTTTATATTAATAAATTTCCTTTACTTCTCCTGTTAGCCTTATAATATTGAATATTCAATATAATCTTAGAAAGCAAACTGTGAAAGGAATAAGTGACTAACTAACTTCATGGAGCTGAGCCATTCTTGAGAAACTGCCAATTGTGCAGCCATTCAAGAACTTCCCAACATTTTATGGAAACCGAAGGTTCATTACCGTGTTCACAAGAGCCTTCCACTTGTCCCTATCCTGAGTCAGATTGATCCAATCCATACCACCCCATCCTTTCAGAGATCCATTTTATTATTGTCCAGCCACCTATGTCTTCATCTTTCCAGTGGTCTCTTTCCTTATGGCTTTCCCACCAATGTCTCATTTGCATTCCTCCTCTCCCCATTCATGCTATATGCACTTCCCACCTCATCCTCCTTGACTTGATCATTCTAATTATACCCGGAGAAGAGTACAAGTTATGAACCTCCTCATTATGCAGTTTTCTCCAACCTTGGAAGGCATAAGTAGGTGAGGCAAATCTGCTGTGAACACGCCAGCGCACTACACATGTCTCATTGTTAGAGAATATGAGTAAGATGGTGTTTGTTGGAAGGTCGAGACAATAGTGGACATAGTGCAGCAGCAGACTCTCACAGTGGGTGGAACTCCGTTCTACGGGCTGTTCAACCAGACATTGCCTAAACGCTGCTGGGCTGGTGATGCATCCCGTCTTCTCCTGAGCACTCCGCAACAGTGCAGCATTAAGAGTTATGTGATCGACATAGGTACTGTCTGACAATAAAGTTAGCCAGGTTGAAGTGTGTTTATTTGGCTTGAATTCCAAGAAACCCAAAACAAAGGAATTAGAATTCACCAATACCCATATTATAATTCTGACTTGTCACACTGAGATTGTTACCTGGAGGTGCATTTGACCTCTATCCCAGCCAGTTTCCGAGGAAAACATCTAAAAATATCATAGTTCCATATATGCATGAATGAATTAATCCTTGAAGACAGAAGCATTATGTTCCTCGACATGTTGGTATTGACTACCAGCTTTTGCTGTATATGATTCTTCTCTGTAGGACTATTATATGGCATTTGTATGCATGAAGTGAGTCGTTAAATGTATTCTATTCCCACTTGTTTTGAATGTTTGCCTTTCGTAGCCAGTATACAGGTACCTTCTGCTTAATTTCCATATAATTTCCTAGGTCTCTGTGATCAAAAAAGTTCATATAAACATGTGTCTGATTTTGGACGGTTACGGAGTTATGACTGTTTTAAACTCAGAATAGAAGGTAACGATTACTGACAATAAACGGAACAAAATAATAAACCAGCATAATACATGATACATTTAAAGTATGAATGTAAAGTTAACCTCGTGGAATTACCTTTAATTTGAATTTATTGGTGCTTAAAGCTGATTTTCGAAAACGCCACTGCCGGCCGCAACATAGGCTGCCACTCAATTGTGAACTGCGCCAGACATACCAACCCACCATGCCTTGGGTAGCTCTCAAGTGTCGAGATAACGAGAATGCTCTGTCAGTAGCTGGCTAAAAAACAGCGACCTGCCAGCTGACAGACGCAGTTCACATGAGGGCGTGTACAGGAATGAAAAAACGGTCATAACTCCGTAACCGTCCAAAATCGGACACATGTTTATACAAACTTTTTTTGATCACAAAGACCTAGGAACTCACCTCCTGCAGTTATGCCCTAAAGTCTTGAAACACTTGTATATATATATATATATGTATGAGGTTTCAGGCGTGCCTCTCATAGCAGCATTCTCATTCTAAAAAAATGGAGTCAACAAATGGTTCTTGTGCTTCTGAAGTCTGTTTTATCGAGATATGTGTGTACACCTTTGCACACATGGAATCATTATCACTTTGCTCTGTGAGCTAAAAGTTGAATTGCTGTAGCCAAGTCTGTTTAACAGCTGGATACAACTTCTTGGTAAAGTAGTAATTCTCTCCCTTACTCCTCACTTATTTGTACCATCTGTGTACCAGATTCATTTAATTGCTTTCTCTGATACCAGAATGCTGGACTAATAGTACACATTTCCAGAGGACAAGAGTGTAACTGAACTGGACTGTCCAGAAGGCAGTCAGATAGTGCTGGACATTTGGAATGACATGGTCATTTGCACAAGGAGCTCCCTCAAGTTACCACCGATCTTGGTACTGGGCAGACTACCATCCAGAGGCTGTGAGCACACCATGGTGTGGTCAGTTATCACCAGCTGGCAGGCGTCTCTCACACTAGACAGCCTCGCCTGCCATTACATGGCTTTCACTCAGGAAGAGGAATCACAGGCTTGCAGTAAGTCATGAGTTGTACTGAATGTTCGTTGCTAACTCCCTTACTTTAGAAGCTGGTGTGCTGTGATCAGAGTTTGCCACACATCCTGGTGCTAGTATTAGCTCTTCTAAATTTCTGTAACATCAAGGAGGTACGGAGTTTCTGACTAGAAGATGACAGCAGATGTAATGCAACCCTTCTCTCTTCACAATAGATAATTTTTAGAGGAAAATATTTTATTTCTTTTGCATTTGAAGACCTTAGTTTCAATTTGCCAGCACAAACATAACTCCCCCCCATTTCTTCATAGTGTCTTGCTTTATGTGCACAAAACCTTTTCTTTTCTGATAAAACTTCGCAGCTAATTTATGTATCTTTCTTCAATCATTGGTCCGGTCTAGAAAACCGAGATTAACGGCTGTGGGGATCTGTTGCGCTGACCATGTGACACCCTCTATCTGCTAAAGTTGGCACTAACTTCACCAACAAGCGGCGGTTGCTCAGTCGGTATAGTTCGCTTGTGGACTCAATCCAAGGAGTTTTCTTTTTTTTAATCATTGGACATTGGCCCCCAGTGGAAGGGGAGAACACAATTAGTAGTCTCTTTGGCATGTCAAGTAACAAAGTTGTTTTAATAAATTTTATTTTAGAGTCTCTTTAGAAGTTTGCTGTGATAGGTTATTTGTTATATTGCCATAAATACTGTCACATGATGGAGTGTGACTGTAGATGGGTTCTGGATTGATAACCAGATCAATTAGACTCTTTGATACAGTGCGTGACTACGCTTTACATTTTACTATTACACACACACACACTAGTGTCCACAGTCGTGTCTTCACTGCCGTTGCTTGGAAGCGGCTTCCAACAGTGGATGTTCCCCTTTTTCTGGGTTCCTGAACTGTCCCCAGCCTCAGCTGCTAGCTTCTAACAGCAACAGCTCACAATGGCTGAACACCAGCAGTTGTCAGACTCATCTGACTGCAACTGGTCCTAGTTATAACACCTCGGTGTGGCTCGCATAGAAGACGCCTCCTTTAGTATTGCTGTGTTCTTGTTGCTGTGGAAACATGCTTGATTGCAGAGCCGTTACTTAGGAGTGACTGTTATATAATTGCTTGTTTCATGGTTGTTGCCTAACAGTGGGTCTACATGCCACAATGTTATGTTTCAGAATCATTTAATGCCATCTATTTTGGACCAGAGAGTGGCCAAGATCATGATGTTCCTCTTATTGTGTGGCCTCATGGAGGACCCCACTCAGCCTTCACAGATGATTTTAAAATGGAAGCAGCATTATTCGCTCTCTTAGGTAAGATGGATTCACTCTGCACTGCTGAACCGGATGTTTCTATGTTACACAGGTTAAGATTTTTTACAAACTTTCTGATACATGATTATTACAGGTTTTGGAATGTTGCTGGTGAACTATCGGGGTTCAATAGGTGCTGGTCAAGAAAGTGTGGAATTTCTTCTTGGAAGGATAGGGGATTCAGATGTGAAGGATGTCCATCTTGCAGTAGTTCAAGCTTTAAAGCAGTTTCCTTTTCTAAATCCAAACAAGATGGTGTTATTTGGAGGGTCACATGGAGGGTTCCTTGTGACTCATCTTAGTGGACAGTTTCCGGTAATGATAAGTTTACTGTCAACTCAAGATTCTGGGTACTGAAGATATAAGCAATATCAGAACAGATCTGGGATCTTGTATGTTTTTTTTTTTTTTCGTTTTTTCTGAATTTTGTTGATCTCTGTTTTCATTCTTGTCAATTTGACATTTGAAAACCAAAGCAATAACTACAGAACTGTTCTGCTTTGTTAAACGAGCTGTTAAATTGATTATGTTACATACTCTTTCCTCTCTCACAGTTTTTTTTTTTTTTTTCCAGGATTTATTCAAAGCTGTGGTAGCAAGAAATCCAGTAATAGACATACCTGCTATGTTTACAATTACTGATATACCGGACTGGTAAGTTCTTTGTATAGTAGAATGAAAATGGAATCGATTGACCATCAACAGAACATATTTTGAGATTTAGTATGTGCAATATATTAATATTCATTACAAACCAGTACATGTTTCATCCATATTTGATCATCATCAAGTTACAAACAACTATGTTAAATTATTAGACGTTACCTAACTAAGATGAATTCATTTCAACTTGGTTCACAATGTGTTATACAACTAAAAATTATACTTATGAAATTTGCTAAGATTAATTTTCGTTTTTAGTTTGTGGGGGAGGAGGGGGGTCATCACTATGAATTAATGATCATATGTAAAAAGAAGAAGTACTATGCAGCATGGAGGCAAGATTAAATTATTCACATTTCTATATTAAAATGTAATTGTGTTTTCATGTTGGTAAATGTGGAAGTTTGTCTGATGTAATAAGCTCACAGTTTGCAAATATGAACTTTCGAACTACCAAATGAATCATGTTACACATAGCCTCTGAATGAAATTGGTTTTTTATCCTTCAGAGCTTAACTCTGTGGATTTATTTTTTAGGGCAGCTGTTGAGACAGGGCTCTCATACTCGGAGTTGGAGGAGATGAACGCGACAGCCTTTGAGAAAATGAGGAAGTGCTCGCCAATCACTCATGTTTCCAGTGTAATTGCCCCTACACTGTTGTTGCTTGGCAGCAAGGACAAGCGTGTCCCCAGCAGTCAGGGCATTCATTACTACAACCGTCTTCTGTCAAACAATGTCAAAACTAAGTATGTCAATTACTTCTATATTTTTATTTATATGTTGAAACATGGGGTTAAGAAGGGATGCTGATTATGAATTGTGAATGTACAAGTGGTAAACTTGCTTGGCTAAACTGATAAGGTAAACATAAGCTATTCTTATGCATAATTAAGCACTGTGCTATGAAGACACAGGGGAATGGAGATATGGTGCCCATGCATTCTTAACCTTGGTACCTGGTGATGCTTAATAGTTAGCTACATTTCACTCCCAGGGTCACAGCCCCTGGTACCCATTTACATAGGAGGCTGGACGAATCACAGAGCCAGTCAGCATTCTGTGTGGAAGAAAATAATTTATGTCTGGAATGCAGCCCCAGTTCCTTGGTTATACATCCCCATCATGTAATTGTTATAATAACCAGGATATTGGCCGTGCCATAGCTCAAGCGGTTAGTTGCTGGCTTCCCACCGTGGCAGTCTGGGTTCAATCCCGGGTCTGGTCAAGTGGGATTTGTGGTGGACAAAGTGGCATAGGGGTGGGTTTTCTCCGAGTACTTCAGTTTCCCCTGCCAATCTTCATTCCACCAAATTCTCCATCATGATCACCAGGGGGAGGCTACAGTAGGCCAATCAGTGGCCGCTGTGCTGAGTGGACCCAGTTGGACTCCACTCCCCACTAAGCGAATTAAAAAAAAATGGGATATTCCACAGACGGTGTCATGTGTGAGTTGTCAAGACGTATCAAACCCTTACAGTATTATTTCTACTTCCTGACGAATGCTGTGAGCAGAATAAGGAACGTTGCTCAATATTCCAGTGTCATCACAAGAAGCTCAGTGACTGAGTGGAAGTTTTGTTTTCAGGTTGATGTTATATGAAGATAATCATCCACTCAACCAAGTACCTATTGAAATGGATAACCTCATTAATTCTGTTCTCTGGTTTCTTCAGCATACTGTGTGAGGTGTGCGATGGGTGTGGAATTATTCATAATGCCGCATATATGGTAGGCATCAACCTGTGTAGTGTTTAATCTTGCTTTCACACACACACACATAAGGGGTCTTTAAATTTAAAATCTCAATTCTGCAGCAGGTCATAATATAATTTGTATTTAATAAATTTTTGTTATTGTATTCAAATGAAAACTAATTGTTAAAAATGAATCCATTTACCCTTGGAGGAATCTCTGAAGCATCTAGCTTCATATATGCGATATTTTATTTAAGCATCCTGATGCATTAATGTATTTACTTGTATACATAGTGTGACATATTTGCGCTATGCAGGATGCCCCCTCCCCCGCCAGCGGTGGCGTAACAGCGCTGCCACTACTACGGTGACGGGCCAACAAATAATCCACACCCCTCCCCCGTGGTGTTGTGGCAGCGCTCCCCATAGCGACGTAACAGGCGACTAGGCAACAAGGAAACGAGGCGCTTCCCATTGTCTGCCTGAGGGTTTATAAGAGAACCACACTGCCAGACAGTGGGAAGCGCCTCGCTTCCTTGTTGCCTAGTCGCCTTGTTTACAGGTGTTGCCTGTTATGTGACTGTGGGGAGTGCTGCCATGACATCATGGGGGAGGGGTGCAGAGTGTTGACTGGCCCATCACTGTAGTAGCGGCAGCACTGTTACGCCACTGCTGGCAGGGGAGGGGGCGTCCTGCATAGCGCAAATACGTCACAATGTATTTCCATCTCAAATGCACATTTTTTCTTGTCATACTTCTTTGTCACTATATGTTCTGGCAAGGTAGACATGCACCTGATTATGGCTGTATATGGCTGAAACATGTAATGATAGAGAAGTAGGATAAGATATATGTATACAAGTTCATATATGCAGTTTTATTTTAAATTTCTATGCAAATATTCCAACCCTGTTCATTGGTTTTAGTAGTTTATCATTGTTGAACAATTAAGGAACAAGCTACGTGAAAGTGTTATGAACTCTTGTAACTTTTTAAAAAAATACGAGACAACATGCACCAACACAGTCATTCTTGAAAAGCTGATAGTCATTTGGCTAGTCGAGAAATTCTGTATCTGCTGTAAACCTAAATGTTCATACCATGTTCATAAAAGCCCCCAACTTTTCTGTATCCTGAGCAACATGAATCCAGCCATCACCTTCACACCTTGTTTCTTTAAATTAATTTTAATGTTCTTCCATCAGTACCTGAGTCTACCAGCACCATTCTTCGTTTGTGAAAGCTCTCATTCTGAATGTAGGGATTTAATGTGACTAGTGGTGAGTTAACCTTACTACATTTTATAATTTATTAACTAAACTACTGTTCACGAATGTATGTAATCAGACTGATTAGGAAGTTGGGGGCTTCACCTCGGGTCTCTTGGCTGTGGTATTACTATAAAGCATAAAAATAGGGTAAAGCTATCCCTGTAACAGGCTGTGGAGACCCGTACGGTTGTGAGAAGTTGAGACTGACACATTTTCTCTATTCATTCGGCTCACAGATGGCAATAAGGTTGTCAGCCTTATGCACTGGCAGCCCTTTGCCCCATAGGAAGATTGCTGGTACTCATTTCTGTTATAGGCTGAGTCTACCCCAGAGCCATAGTGTGGAAGGATTAGGTCAATTGAAAAAAATCCAATGACCTCATCAGGATGGGATCCCGCAACCTTTCCAGCTTGTAGCTTAGTGCCTCAACCAACAATGCTACTGTGCGCCCCCACTGGTATTACTATAGCTACATTTAAGTAAGATAGTTTTGTGGTTCCACAAAGTTTGTAATATTACATAATGCTAATAGTATTGTATTGGAACCTGTTTGTGCCTTAAGAAACTCCATTGATTTGAAGAGGGGCATACATTTTCTCACCCCATAATCCATAAATATAGGTGATCTCTGAATTTGTCCAGTGGTACATTGTTTCTGAAGCTAAGGCAAAATGTCTGAAGTAATTTTGCTCATGTTAAATTGGCAAACTAAATCATAGTACATTGTGATACGATTTTTTAATACAATTTTACTAGTTAGAAGTTCCATATTGTGTTGGTGTTGTTGTCAATCTGTTTTTGGAGTACCATCAGCTGGATTATTCGACAAGTGCCTGGTGTAATCCAACTTAGTTTTCCAGCTGTATGAATGTAGTGGAGCTTCCCATTGTATTGATCGTCAGTCAGCATTGACCAGGAAAATGCATCATCCTTAACTTCTGTGCACATCAGTTTCTTACAAGTATTTTTCTATCGATATGAATCAAATTAACAGACACAGTAGAGTATTATTTAAATTTATTATATATCATAAATCAGGTTGTCGGTTACATTCTCTGCCATTTGACCCACAAGCATATTTACTGCTGCATTTCCACATGATTAAAAATGCTTGCATACATTCACTCAGAGAATCCAGATTCTTTTCACCGTTTAAATGAAATGATTGCTGTTCCAGCACTCTGTACACATGTATCGGACGGCACTCAAGGAGCCCTAAGGCATTCTCCTTTCTTCTAATGATCATACTTTCTTCACAATTTGTACGACGTCCTCATCGTTCAAGATGTGATCCTTTCCCACCTTTTGTGGCTGATGTTTTACTGATGATCCCCAGACGAGAGCACTAGAATACAAATTGAGACAACTTAATATAGGCTTGCATTTAACAGTTTTTATAAAGCTTTAATATAATCTACCAACAGTGGCTGATGCTGAGTTCTTTATTGTTAAGTCATTTTCTGCCTCTCATCAGTTTTCTTGAGTTCTGTGCTCCATGGATTTGAAGCCAAACCACTTGAGAAACATTTCTATCATCTGTACATGTTCAGGATACATAATACCAATTATAAATTTGGATTAAATATGTCTGAATTATATAGTGACAGGTTCCCCTTTTGGATCAATAAATTGTACATTACTTACTACTTAAACTCCTTTGCTATGCTGCGATGTAGTTTATTACAAAAGTCTTCTACACTCAGTCTTTCCGAATGTAACACAACGGGGGACTCGTAGTCTGGGAGCTGTCCTTTAGGTTTTGTATAGCTGGAACAGACAATTCCATCATATGTACATCAGAACTAACCCATGAGAACTGTGTACCTGTCAAATGCAAACACAGATACATACATGCGAACCAACTTCAAGTACTCCCACATTTTTTCAAGCAGATCATCAAAATTCCATTTGTGATGAGCTGAGATGGGGACGCAGTGTGGGATCTTATAGATGATGTCCAGTTCTTCAATGCTGATCTGATCTAGAGGACAGAAATCTGCGATAAAGCCAACATATGCACAGAAAATTTGGGATCATTATGAATACATATCCTGTACTGTATCAGTGTTTCAACTTCACGAATAAACATTAAGAACAGAACACAAGGCAGCAAAATATGTTGTAACATTACTTTGTTTATAAGATCTAAAAGTTTGTGACGATGATACATTGCTACAAGTATTATTTTTTGGACATTATCCATCGTCTTGTCTATTTTTTAAAAAACTGTCCTGTTTCTTTTTTAAAACAACGTTTCGGAGACTGGATTCTGTCCCCATCGTCCGGAGACAGGGGCTATTGGACCCAACTGAGTAGGTTTTACCTGAAGATGGGGACAGAATCCAGTCTCTGAAACACTGTATTTTAAAAGAGAAACAGGATGGGTTTTAAAAAATAGACAAGATGATGGATAATGTCCAAAAACATAATACTTGTATTACTTTGCTTCTCCAGCTCTGGTTGTTTAGGTAACCATAACCATGTTTTTCTAGCGTGTGTAGAGTAAGTAATGGCTGTAAACAATACAATAGAAGAATATCTGATTTTATCCTCTCCTTTATAATGTGAATTTAATTGTCTGTGTCTTGCAGCACATTTGATCAACAGAAATGTTCATAAGGCTGTACTACTAAGTAGGCATTTCTGTTTGCTCATTGCATTCTTTGCCTCACACATCGAAACATCATGTACAGAATGTTAAGTAACGAGCCTGCAAATTGCACTTCCCATGTGAAAACTGTACATTAGGCTCTCAACACAGAGATGTAGGATGTTATGCAAGGCAGTAACCACATCCACAAGTCTACTCATCAGTGTACATACCTATTTTATTTAACAGGTAGATGCAGGGCACATAAATTCGGTTTCCCTCAATGACATCAATTAAATCGTCACTAGTTGCATCATATCTGAGGGTGATATCTGCGTTGTGAATGCGATATTCAGACAAGATCGATTTCACTGTATCAATATCCAACTCGGACTGTGGGACCTGCAGATGAACGTGACACACAAATTCTCTGGCAGCTATGGCATAAATGTAAACAATTTACATATAAAAGTTTATTACCAAGGTCTGTAAGTTTACTCCACCCTTGTCCTTCTTACGAAAGACAATGTTAGGTGGAGATTTGTTGAGTCGTAAACCAAATCCTTCCAACTCGTGTTCAATCAGCCTCTTATGCTGTAAAGGCTTCAGTACGTCCAACACGATGAAAATTAAGCTACATGTTCTGGCCACAGCAATTACTTGTCTTCCTCTGCCTTTGCCATCTTTGGCTCCCTCAATGATACCTGGCAGATCCAGGAGCTGCAACAAGTCGATATGTGACAATGGAAGTTTTTTTAATTAATTTGCATAGTAGGGGGTGCAGTCCAGCTTAATCCACTCGGCACATCAGCCACTGATTGGCCTATTGTACCTACCCTGGGTGATTATGATGAACTTGGTGAAATGAAGATTGGCAGGGGAAACCGAAGGTCTCGGAGAAAACCTGCCCCAGCACCACTTTGTCCACCACAAATCCCACTTGACCAGACACGGACTTGAACCCGAGCCGCTGCAGTGGGAAGCCAGTGACTGCCTGAGCTATGGCGCAGCCTGACACTGGAAGTTACTGCACACCTCAGGAATGGAATGGATCAAAAAGGACAGACCCAGTGATCAGCATGGGACATGAAGAACATGAAGAAAGGTGGAAAAGCATGGTCTGTAGTCAGATACAGAACCAATTACACTTGTCAGACAGATGGATAGTCAGTTCATGCTATTTCTGACTCAGCACAGTGACCTGAACCTCATCTCAAATGTCAGTCAAAATTAAGGTAACGTTTGATTGATGAATGGGAATTTTACAGCAACAACAGGTATGAAGTCTCACCCTGTCTGTGTTCAGAAACAATAAATGATGGAATTAATATACAACAGAATGAAAAGAATAAACTCTTAAGTCTCACTTGTATCTTTGCACCCTTATATTTGATACAACCAGGTACAGTTGTTAATGTCGTGAATTCATATGCAGCAACTTCTGAGTATACACCAGCCAGTGTGCTCAGAAGTGTTGATTTTCCAACTGATGGAAAACCTGTAACAGAAGACAGTTCTGTCTCATTAAATATCAAAATTAGGGCAAATAATAGGTAATGAGATAATGCATGTTTTCATGTTGTCAATATTATTCTGAAGAATTTGTGTGTGTTGCTTTTGCAGAGGAGTGAATACTAATATTGTTATGTGTAACGACTCCAATACAGTGGAAACTTAACCTAGCTTCATGAACTGTAATATATTGACTTAAATCCCGAGGGACATTAAAGTGAAGATCGCGTCATTAAACTAACAGTTAGTTACCTACAAACCCAATGCGAGCATCACCAGTTTTGGCAACATCAAACCCTTCACCTGTACCTCCACCGCCACCTTTTGGGGTTATCAATTCTCGTCGCAGCTTGGCTAAACGTGCCTTCAGCAACCCAAGATGACCAGCTGTTGCTTTGTTTTTCTGTGTCCGAGCCATCTAAACATCGAAAATTAGAATTCTTACATCCACATCAATTATTGATAGCGAAAGAGAAAACATTGTTTTGACAAGTTACCTCAGCTTCAATAGCTGCAATTTTATCTAGTATTGTACTCATTTTATAACAGTGATAAAGGTCTTAACGGAACTTAATTTACGTATATCGCCAAATCACGAGCCGTAGACTTTCTAAATAAAACAATACTGCAGTATTTATTGTCCTGTAAAGTACACTTCTTGTCATGTGTCACGAAGAAGAGCACATGCGTTGCGCCTGCCGAAAGAAATTTCAATACGTATGATCTCGAAGTATTTCGATACTCGGAATCGCAATAATCGGTCGATTGCGTTTCGATAGGAGTCTGAAGTAAGCTGTAGAGAACGTATGTAGTTATCTGTGGTAATTGCAAAAGAGATTATGGTCAGTTTCGCGGTTGATTTATAACTATGGGATTTGATTTAATGTAGTGAATCAAAAGCTGACGGTTACTCTTTAAGTTACATCGCCATGTTATTTCTGTATATGAATGGTATGCTTACTACGCCAAATTAAGCTAGAAATGTATATGAAGTGAAAAATTCCTGTTACGGTATTTCTGTAGTTATGCTTCTTTCGATGTAGCTTAAAGGAGGGCTGTAGGATCTTCAAAACTCACCGTGTACTGTGATTGTGTTATAATATCTGTAACGTTTCTTGCAGGATAAATGAAAAAAAAAAATCTGAGTTGCCCCAGGGTGCTCGTCATCCAGTAGGCAGACAGGTTTGAAACCCTTCAACTTTCTCAGGGATTCAGCACGGTAAGTCTGATTTAATGCCGGTTGTAGTGGCTTTATTATGTGTTGCTTAATCCAACGAAGAAATTAAGTTTAGCTAGTGCCTGCATTAAATGTATTAGCAATGTAGCACCAGCACCATGTTTGTAATACTTACGCTGTGGCCCCACGAGCGCACAAAATGCGTCCGTTGTAGAAATAAACAAGAGAGGCGAATGCTACGCTTTCTTCTGGCTCCATTGCAGACAAGAAACTACGAGCCGCATCTGCAACTGCGTGGTGACCTAAGCAACGTCCGTCATAAAGTATGTTCATTACAGCGGACACATTTTGTGCACTCGTGTGGCCTCAGCCTTAGGTTTTGAGACAATATGTAATACCCTTACAGGGCTATGGTATGGGCAGGAAGAGTTGGGATATCCTGCACTATTGATTCTGCTAGAATGATGCACAATAAATTTTTGTGCAGTAGAAAGTGATTTCACTACAGCTGAACAGATTCGCAGTTCCATGTATCTCAGATTCTGCAGTACAGTCACTCCTACAACCTCCTGATCCTTCATTACATACCATTTCAGGTAAGCACTATATACTTCTTTTATGAATGCAGTGGCTAATAATGAGGACTAGTTTTCAAAGTTATTGTCCCCAGAACCCAGTTGTAATCAAGCAAACGTCATTGTCATCATTTATTACTACTGAAACTGTATGTCAATATACAGGTCATGGATAATTAAAAAATGTTTGAAAAGCAGAACATTTTTTTAATAATATGATTTAGAAGAGAGTGAGGTGGTAAAGTCTTTACTATGAGATATAAAGTAACCAGTGTACAAATTTTTTATAGAGGCAGTGTGTTGTCAGGTAATATGTGTTCTTTTCCCAATGCAAAGAATTATGGTAATCCACCAGGTAAAGGTGGGAATACACGAGTGCGCCGCTGCTGTAATGCAACATAGATCGAACGGGATTCGCGACTTATTTGCTCGTGTGTACGTGACTTTGAACTCACGCAGCACACATCTCAAATGCTGTGCAGCGATCCGGTTCCTGTCGGTTTTTCTGACGAACACAAAGGGATTCGTTGCCGCAGTGTGGTTGGGTTCGGTTGCCATTTGTCTCGTGAAGCGTGCATGCCTCAAACATGGAGTGGTCAGAAGAAAATATTTTGGGGCTCATAGAGGCATACAAATCATTCCCTATACTGTGGAATCCCGGAGAAAATGATTATTATAAAAAGAACAAAAAAAAGTGACGCTTCTTCGTCTTCCATGGTCATGTGGACGGCGAAGACAGAATGGAACTGAGGTGCTCGCGGCTTGCGCGCCCCATTCAGATGGTTCGTTGTGTGCGCATCGCTTGTTCGAGGTGCACCAAATCACTCTGCGCATCACTTGTAATGCCGCGTTACAGCCACGGCGTGCTCTTGTATTCCCACCTTAAGGAAGCACACTAATTTTGCATTTTTCTTTTGTTCATTCAGGAGGGTGCTGCAGTGAATACCTGGCAACAGCTGCGTTTATTGAGGAGGTTGGCATACTCTTTGAGAGTTTAAATGGTGGAATGTCTGTTGACCCTGGAAAGCACTGTGTTGCCCACTAAGCGACAACAGTCCTCAATATAGAGCACTAGTTATCCACTTCAGCAGGAAACACTGAGAAACAGGATCAATATCAGAATTCAGTATGGGTAGGACATTTTGTGTAATTTATTTACCTAACTTTTTTTTTTGGTATATTCTGTTTTATTATTATGGGTGCATTCCTTCTAATAATTTATTTAACTATTTTAATATTTTTTTATTATTCTGTTTTATTATTATTATTGTGGATGTATACCTTGTCATAATTTATTTAACTGTTTTATTATTTTTGTTATTATATTATGGGTGTATTCCTTCTAATGTTTCTCCATATTACTCTGTCCAGTACTGGACTGGTGAACATGAATATAAAATTTCCAATAATCATTGCATTTCATTAAGCTATGTTATTAATTTTGCCAAATATTCCTGTCCAGTACTGTAATGTAAGATGAATATCAGATTTCCATTATTCTGTAAGATATTATGAAAGGTTAATTAATTCCATCCAGTGTGACTGATGTCACTGATGTCCAGTCACTGTGGACAGAAATAATTAACCTTTTATAATATTGTTAGTGTGATGGACCAGGATGAAACAAATCAAAATTCTGTAAGATATGTTGTTATATTTGCAATTTATTCTTGTCCAATACTGAAGTGGAAGATGAACATCAGATTTCCAGTATCCCGTAAGATATGTTGTAATTTTGCCATATAATCCTGTCTGGTACTGAACTTGTGACCATCATTCTAGTAAAATTAATAATAAATGGAAACCTCAGTATTATTTCTTGCTATACATGATTTATAATACATTAACTCTTTCACTGGCGCAAAGGGTATTTAAATCCCACCCCTGTCCTGGCAGGCCATTTAAACCTTATGTCGCTAAAATGCATGTAGTTACTTTTTCCTAAACAACTTCAACAAAAATTGGTTTTTAAAAACGAAATTTTCAGGAACTAATTAAAATACAATATATTATGCAATAAATGCCTTTCCATACCTCTTTATTAGTTTTTCTTCGTGTGATAAACATTGAAACATGAAAGTTTGGAGGCTTTCACGGCGGTGACTATGAAGAAAGCAGTCTTCTGGGATTTGGCACCGTGTATATGTGGTGTTAACCGACGTTTCTTCATTGAAACATGAAAGTTTGCAGAGAGCCACACCACAGCCTGCACACATGATACATGTTTCTTTTCTAACCTTGTGCTTAGCACTCACGCGACACTTTCTCAGGGCACCATTCTTCTTATTGTTACTGGGAGGAACATGGACCATTTTGTGAATTTTCAAGCCACCCTCTAGACGATTTACTGGCTCTTTCACTGGTGGCCTTTTCAAGGTCGAGGGCGGAGGCGTGACTTCACTCTAGTCTGACGCAATAAATTCGTCATCCACTTCATTCCTTGACTTTTCTCCCTCTCCACACTGTTTGTTTGGTTCAGTCATTTTTCTACACAGTCCAATATAAAATCTTTGAATCTGTAATTTCTCTTCTTGTATTTTTCGTTTGTTGTGTTCTTTTTGAATAGAATGAAACTATTCAACTGCAAAGACATGTTTTGTCCATACCATGGGTGTGAAATAGGGGCCTAGTGGACAAATATTCTTCAATTTCAGGGCGTTTGTCGATTCCTGTCATGAACACAATTCCTAAGTATGTCCAGATTTCATCTGATGTGACATAATTGTAATTGTGTTTTCGAGAGTGAGGAGCTAACTCATGTGTGTTGAAGTGCTGGTGAGCATAGCGATTGGTTTCAGTTGTGATGTGATTTACCAAGTCGTCATCCAGAAAAAAATTTAATCCATGAAAAGGGATGCATTTTATGTGTTATATCAATTTTGATCCCGAAACTATTAGCAAATGGAAATATTGGGGGTACAATGTCTCCGTACGTTCATGAGATGGGCGTGTCAGGCACCGCACTCGTGGTAGGTAAATGTTCATGATTACTGTCTTGTGGATCATTGTCTATCACTGTATTATTGTCACTATCAACTTCATCCAATTCAGGAATCATTATTTCATCGCCACTATCATCATCAGAACAAATCTCGTTCACAACATTTTCCAGCTGGTCTGTAGGAACACGAAGACACTTGCTGCAAGAAGCCATGGTGAAACTGAATGAATGTGAAATATTTTCTGACCTTTACCTTCTCAGAGGGTTCTGACAGTAATATAGACCCCCACAAAGTTTACAAGGGTTCTTTACAAACATGCACAAAAACTATCATATATATGTCTTTGGTTGATGAGTGCCAAGAGAGCAAAGAAGGGAAGAGATTGTCAAAGCGTTAAAACACGCCAACGCCAGGGAACGGCTGGCATCGTCCGGGCGTTAAAACACGCCCGCGCCAGTCAAAGAGTTAATGTAACCGAAAAACTATGTTCTGTGTGGCTTTCAAGTGTAAGTTGTGATGAAAGGTGGGAGGTTAAATAGAAGTATGTCTGATGGAAACAGAATTTTCTTTCAAGTTTCCCCACCTTCAGCTTTCCTAAACACAAGTATTCTATGTATGTTATAGTTCACAATGTCCAGTGCATCTGTCTGTGTGACACACACAGATCCAGCAGCACAACGCATGCAGTAGCAGGAGCAAAACACAACACAGAACACGATACACAAATATATGTAGGAAGAATGCTCACATAAAAGAGGATTGGTGTAATTCGCATGTTTGAGTGCGACGTAGGAAGAATCCTGAAAAGTTTTATTATTTAGAATTCATCGTCCTATATGACGAATACAGAGTTTAGTCATTTTAGAATGAAGACATTATGGCATGCAGTACAATAGTTTAATGTGCATAAAGACACCTGAAGATGACACATTAGTGCTGAAACATGTAGTGTGGAAGTGAAGAATAAGGTGAAAAAGTGTATACACTGTAAGACGGTCAGCATAAACCATGGACATGAATCAGTGTAACAGGACGCTAAAATATAACAAAGAAGAAACCGAATTGTTTTACTGAGTTGTTTAAGTGAGCAGCCGACCCCTTGGAATGATCGAAATACTCATTAAGTGAGCGATTGATCCATTGGGAATATTGATTGTTATTTTGATAACGAGAAGATTGGTAATAAGGAAACCAAGTCGATCGAGTGGATTGTGGGAATATTGGTTTAATAAGTGAAAAGTAATTCATGGAAAATAACAAGCCAGTTACAGCAATAAACGAAAGAGTTATTAAAGTTTACACTGGCAAGAGAAACCATGGAGAGCGAGGTAAAAAAAAACGACGAAACTTGTATGTGTCTAATTGTTAATTGGAACTTACAGCCTACAGCAGGAGCTGCAACAAGGCCAGCACAAATCAACCGTACAAGAAGGAGATGAGTCCAAGCCGAGAACCCGCCAGCACAGCAACTTCGATCATCGGACGAGAACAACACTAACGGTGAGTCCTTGCTAAAGATACATGAGTGCCAGACAAAGGGAAGAAGGTATTATATTCACTGAGGCTGATGAAGCGACCAGCATGGCTGAGGAGTACATTAGTGTGAGTGAAGCCCTTAAGTTAGTAACTCCCTTCACAGGAAACAAACGCGATATCCTTACTTTCATTTCAAACGTGAACACCGTGTTTGAAGTAATCAACCCGATCCATGCAGAGAGGCTGTATAAATTTATACTAACGCAGATTAGTGGGGAACCTAGGACCGTGATAGCGCGCAGAAATTTAGAAAATTGGGGAGAGATGGAAGAATTTCTGAGAAGCACATACGTGGAAAAACGCACTCTGGATTTCCATGCCAACAAGTTGTTCCGAGCCAGACAGGAAAAATCGGAAAATATTTCAGAGTGGATTCAGAAGATTCAGGCACTGGGTTCGAAATTTAGAGAAGCTGCTTTGAAAGATTGTACACCCACAGAGCGAGTGGGCATTTTAATGTTATCCGACAGATTAAGGAATATTTGTTTTACACAAGGATTACAGTCAGACAGAATACAAATGATCATTCGAAGCAAAAATCAAGAGAGCTTCGATGAGATCGCGGAAACAGCGCTAGAGGAGGAGAGCACTATTTTTTCGAAAAACGAGAGGTACAAGGGAACTGAAAGATTTTCAGTGCAATGCACTAATTGCAAAAAATTGGGGCACACAAGTAACAAGTGTTATTTAAGGCATAAACAAGAAGGCAAAGTAGAGGTGTCACATTTCAAGACGAACCCTCAAGGCCGGGAATTCACGTGTTTGAATTGTGGGGAAAAAGGACACAGTTTGAGATTTTGCAAAAAACCTAAAAAGAAACTAGTACAAGACAAGAGTAGAGTCGAGAGACCGGGAAACAAGAGCAGGCCATCTCGCAGCAGTCCTCAAACAGCCAATGCTACTCAATAGGCTGCATTTACGAAGGTGATAGTGACTTTTTAGAGTTTGTTGTAGATATTAGTAAGGGTGAAAGATTAAAATTCTTGCTGGACACGAGCAGAAGTTAGCCTGATAAAAAGCCCTAAATTAATAAGCACCACAGTGTTTGATCCCAATCAAAAGTGCGGGTGAAATGTGTAGATGGGTCAGTAGTGGAAACCCATGGCACGGTGAACGCGTGCGTAAGTGAAGGCCAACACAAGGTCAGGTTTGAATTTCAATTAGTAAATAAGCAAGTAGACCTTGCTTATGATGGAATAATTGGTAGAGATTTTCTACAGTTTACAATGGCCAGAATCTGTTTCAAGAGCAACAGGGTAGTATTTAATATGCCTGAGGGCGAATGGACCAAGGTAATAGGCGAGGAAAAGGGGAACACCCGAAACAACAGAGTTTGCACCCTAAAAATTCCCCGAAGGTCAGAAATGATAGTGAGAATACCCATGGAGAACGGAGTAGAAGGGGCAGAAGGAGTAATAGAGAAAGCGGAAGTAACAGAAGGGGTGTATTTAGCTAGTGCCTTGACTAAGGTAGCGAACAGTCAGGTTGTCACTAGTATATTAAGTACCAAGGAGACAGACGTAATAATAGAAATTCCCGAAATAAAATGGGAAGCATGTGACGTGTACAAAGGAGAAAGATTCCAAAAATCTGGGGGATCGCTAACCACGACTAGTAAAGGTACTCAGAATAGGACACAGGAGTTGCTAGGGGCGCTGATGTTGGATAACCTGAACCCCAAAGAGAAGCAGGTGATGGAGGAAACATGCAAAGACTATCAGGATATTTTTTACTTACCAGGAGACAAATTTAGTTGCATGACCACCGTGAAGCACTCAATAAATGTGGTACCGGGCACGAGCCCCGTACACACGAGGCCTTATTGACTACCCGACTCGCAAAAGGCGGAAATAGAAAGCCAGGTCAGTAATCAACTAGAAAAAGGAATCATTGCAGAGAGTAGTTCGCCATGGAACAGCCCTCTACTAATTGCACCCAAGAAAGCCGACAATAGTGGGGAAAGGAAATGGCGGCTGGTAGTAGATTTCAGAAAGCTGTATGACAAGACCATTGGAGATGCTTATCCATTACCGGATATAACAGAGATCTTGGATCAGTTGGGGCAATCAAAATATTTTAGTTGTCTAGACCTAGTGATGGGGTATCACCAAATTGAACTAGAGGAAAAGGACAGGAAAAGACCGCGTTCAGCATGAGAAACAGTCACTGGGAGTATAACCGATTACCATTCGGATTAAAAACAGCCCCCGCGACATTCCAAAGATTGATAAATACTATACTCTCTGGGGTTGACGGGAATGCACTGTTTTGTCTTCCTTGATGATATAGTAATCTATGCAAAGTCATTGAGTGAACATGATTCAAAGCTGTGGGAAGTGTTTGGACGAATTCAAAAAAATAATTTAAAACTCCAACCTGAAAAATGTAAATTTCTTAGAACAGAAGTAGGCTATTTGGGACACATTATCACAGAGGAAGGAGTGCAACCAAATCCAGAAAAAATAGAAGTGATTGAAAATTTCCCTAGACCGGAATCACCAAGAAAATTGAAAGGATTCTTGGGTATGACAGGGTACTACCGCAAGTCCATAAGTAATTACAGCAAGATTGCTGCACTTCTATATTTGCTACTTAGAAAGGATGCACAATTTCAATGGGAAGATGACCAAGAAAACGCCTTCTGGAAATTAAAAGGAAACTTAACATCAAAACCTATTTTGCAGTATCTGGATTTCTTGAGGGAATTCACACTCACCATAGCGATATTATCGCAGGGCCCTATCGGGAAGGACTTGCCAATAGCCTATGCTAGCCGAAATTTAAATAAGGCAGAGAAAAATTACACTACTAGTGAGAAGGAACTCTTGGCTATAGTTTGGGGGGTCAGTCACTTCCGACCTTACCTTTATGGTAGAAAGTTCACCATGAACATAAAGGACCCCGGATCCCGATTACTTAGGTGGAGGATAAAATTAGAAGAGTACGACTACGAGATCGTCTATAAGAAGGGAGCGCTGAACACAAATGCCGGCACACTAAGTAGAATAAATGGGTTAGTGCTCGAGGACGAGGGAAACCAAGAGGAGGTCCCTAGTGAGGAAAGGAAGGGATGAATCATGTATGAATATCATGATGCACAGTTAGGTGGGCATCGGGGAATGAACAGGACCTATAGGACCATAAAGGATAAGTATTCATGGCCTAACATGAAACAAGAAATAGAAGAATACGTCAAACGATGTAAAAGCTACCAAGTGAACAAGATGCTAAGTCCACAAGCGAAGGCCCCTACGGAAATTACCACAACAGCACGGCAGCCCTTCAAGAAATGTTGTCTAGACATTGTAGGACCCTTAACTGAGACTCGGAGGCAACAAATATATATTAACATTCCAGGATGAGCCCAGTAAATTTTTAGTAGCAATCCCTATACTGAAACAAGACGCCGAAACGGTAGCAAAAGAATTTGTGAAGAACGTCGTTTTAAGGATGGGAACGCCTAAAAGACTACTAACTGACCAAGGATCAAATTTTTTAAGCGAGGTATTTAGAAGTACTTGTAGACTACTAAAGATAAAGAAATTACAAACGACTTCATTTCAGCCAGAGAGTAACGGTAGCCTAGAATGGAGTCACAGAGTATTAAATGAATACCTGAGGCACTATATTAAGGAAGATCAAAGTAACTGGGACGAGTGGATTCCCTATGTGGTACATGTATATATCACATCCACACACGCTTCCACTGGGTACACACTGTTCGAATTAGTGTACGGATTCAAGTCAGCCATGCCTTCTGTACTACAAGAACCCCCCCAGTGTACAGTATAATTATGATGAGTTTGTAACCGGATTAAAGGGTCGGTTACAAACAGCACACACGATAGCATGAGAAAACCTACTAAAATGTAAGGAGAGAAGTAAAGAACACTACGACAAGAATTCAAGGGTACCTTTGTTTCGAGCAGGGGACAAGGTACTGCTGTATGATGAAACAGTCCGAATGGGGAGGTCTAGAAAACTTTCATCCCATTGGTTAAGCCCCTATGAAATCATTAATCTGGACAGGGTAAACGCCACCATTAAGAAAGGACAAAATGGCCAGAAGGTACACTTAAACAGACTAAAGATGTTTAATTAGGACAGGAATTAGAGGACATGAACAAACATTTTTACTTTTCAGATGCATGGTGGGAGAGCACGAGCGTACATACTCTGGATCGTATGGTCGTGGGAAACTGCGAAACCCCAAGTCGCAGAAAAGGGGCTAGGCCACTCAATAGAGAAATATGAGGAATCACCAGGATTATATTACGAACAGTTAGGGGAAACGACACTATATAACACCGACTGGAAAAACGGTGGTATATGTAAATTTGTGGCAAACTGACCGTGACATTGACCAGTTCGTAGGCAGTGCTGATTCGCGACTAAATTTGTTTGATATCAAAATAACAGCCGAAGGACACATTGCTCGAGTTAATAATGCCCTCTCGGTCATGCAAACAAATATAGACCTGATGATTGAAAGTGTCATCAATGCACAAAGGGGAATGTTACAACTGCAAATAGTTGCACCAAGTTTAATTTTAGAAACCTTGAAAAGGAGTATTGCAGAATTCCCGAAGGAAAAGATGGCACCATTTGTCATTAGCAAGGATTCATCCAACCTAATATATAAAATATGTGACATAAATATATATGTAAAAGATGGTATCTTAGGATACATTATTAGCTTACCGATGATCAACAGGGGTGTGTTTAAAACGTTTAGGCTGATACCATTGCTGGTAGCAATGGGTCGAGGCAAATTTATTTATATTGAAACGGAGAGTAAGTTACTGTATGTCGATCAGACGAGACAGTATTACTTTATGTCAGATAGGGAAGAGTTAAGAAGGTGCAAGACGATTGAGCCAACTAAGTACATTTGTAAACAAACACGACCCCTGCTGAATAGCCATATGCAAGAGGCATGTGCGATAAAGTTTTACAACCGAGAATAAACATCCCAAGGATCTGTGATACAAGAATTGTACAACTCATGCACACAATCTGGACACAATTAGAACAGAGGAATGAATGGATTTATTTCATCCCTTTGAGCGATAGTATTACCATCTTGTGTCCAGGTAGGGATCCAACAGACATCGTACTTACCAGTACAGGTAAACTAATGATTCAACCAAATTGTAAAGGGTATAGCCTTCAAGAATGTTATCCAAGCAAACACTACAAAATATGGAGGTGACCTACTATCCAAGGTCGAAGCTCAATTTGAATGTTGCGAGAACTTGGGTGTTTCCAAAAATTTGAGTCACATTGAACTAAAGCTAGACTTTAAACATGTAGTTTCACATGTAGAAGATTTGAAGTATACAAGCTACAAAATTTCTGAATTAGAAGAGAAAATTAAGGATAACGAATGGAAACACAAGCACTCGCAATATCATAGTGTGTATTCTGTTTTTGCATATATCCTAATAACTTTGATTTCCATGTACAGAATTTATAGGTTGGGACGGTTCATTTTAAGACGACGGTATGGAGGTAACACGGTAAGGGCCCTTATGGGGCCGGTAGAAGATGTAAAGCTATCCACCAAACCAAGCAGGGCCGGAAATGTAGTCAATCATCATCATCAGTAATCTGTCAAGACGACAGGTCCACAGTCTCTTCCAAAACAATTCCTCCACTTAATGTGATCTAGAGCTTTCTCCTTCAAATGACAGTATCGTCTTCTGTCCCCAAGGTCATCCAGCATCTTCTTACGTCTTCTTCCTCATCTTCTTGTCACTTCTATCCGCCCATCTATCTTTCCTTCGATAACTTCTTTTAGAAGGCAGTTTCTGCGTAAAACATGACCAATCCAATTAGCCTTCCGTTTTCTTATTTCATGTAGGATATTCCTCTGCTCACTGACTCTAATTAACACTTCTTCATTTCTCACATAATCGGTCCAACTGATCTTCTCCATCCTTCTCCAACACCACATTTCGAAACTTTCCAGATGTTTCTGATCTACTGCCCTAAGTGTCCATGTTTCAGCCCCATACAGAGCTATGCTCCAAATGTAGCATTTCACTAGTTTCTTCCTCAAATTTAAGTCCAATTTGCTGGTAAAAAGATTCTTCTTCTTGCTAAATGCAGCTTTTGCCATGGCAATCCTGGATTTAATTTCACAAGTACACCTTCCATCATCTGTTAACAAGCTACCCAAATATTTAAAACATTTCACATTCTCCAGTTGTTTTTGGTCTATCTTTATTGTGACTGGGGTTGGTTGTCTCGAAATTTTCATTACTTTTGTTTTCTCCACATTCATTTCCATGCCATAGCACCTTCCAATTTCAATTAGTCTATCAATCATGCCCTGTAGCACAGTTTCTTCCTTAGCCATTAACACAAGGTCATCTGCATATTTCACAGTTTGAATAATTTGCCCTCCTACTTTGAAGTCTCCGAGCCCATCCAGAGCTTCCTTGGTAAGGCATTCGCTGTACAAGTTGAACAGAATTGGTGATAAACAGCATCCTTGTCGAACTCCTCTTCCAATCTGCACACTTCCTGTCTCCCCTCTGTCCAGTCATACTCTAACTTTCTGATCCATGTACAATTTGCTAATCAATCTTCTTTCATGCCAGTCGATACCTGTTAGTCAATATTAACATAAAAACAAGTAACGAAAGTTTATCTGGGAACCCCGAGGCCATCCCACTGCAAGACTTGGACAGTAGTTCAACGAAAAGTAGTAACCCTGAATTCAGGAGGTCGAGGCGATTAAGAGCCACGAAATCCTATTTCTGGGCCTAATTAATGTGTAAATTGAGCCTTTGTTTGAAGGGGGAGGTGTTGTATATGTATTATACCAGAGTTGTATATGGGAATACCTGGTATAAACTGGGGTATATTAATATGTATGTAGGGAACACCTAGTACATAGTGAGCTGTTGTGTAAGGTGACTGACATAGATGCTTAAAAATGAAGGAAGGTGCACAATTAAAATAACTACTTTAAGTACATGAAGTGAGGAAGAGACTATAATATGATGAAATATTAAAAGATTGTAACTCGACCTCTCACCTGTATTATCATACCAAAACGTACTTGTTTTCAACTAGAAGACAATGACAGTCGTGCACTCTCCTGCCTCATAAATTCTGTCAAGTTCAATCAAAGTCCAGGAGGGATGCACATACTGTAAACAAAAGAATGTTCTGGAAGTTTTAAGCTGATGCAATGTATGACGTTATTAGAGAATTAAGGTGGAAGGAATATATACTCCCGATTGGGCGTTACAAGATGCTTTTTCGATCACGACAGTCTACGATCCGTGAGGACTGATTGTCTGATAGAGGAAGTCAGTGGCTGCCCAGGCTCAGGCAGTGTGTAAAACTGTTGTCTTAACTATACATTTGCCTGTAAGCATTGCATTTTAATAGTTTTACATTAAACCACCTAGCTCTACCTCTGCTGTTACTTGAAGCTACCCCGTCTTGACTCCCGAGGGAACCGCTCGCCCTGGCCAACCTGTCTCGCTACTGGGATACGACATCGATTCCGGGTGCAGGATACAACACTGTAATCCTTGGAAAATGACATTGTTATAGTTTCTTTCATTATGTTGCATTTTGTGAATGTTGGCAACACTTGAGGTTCTAAACCAAAGCAGAGGTTGTTGGTGATAGTGTATTTTTAATCCGTTCAATCTTCACTAGAAAGTCAGTGTCAAGTTAGCAAAAATGTTTGAGGGCGAAGAAGATCCATCAAAGACTCCTCCATGGAAGAAGTTGAAATTCCAGGCCAAACATAATCAAATATATCTTAAGAAATGGGAAGATATGTTTTCGTGGGTTAGCCGGAACCAGACGAGAACCGGGCATTTTGTACGTTGTGTAGGAAGGATTTTAGTATTTCGCGCGGTGGACAAAGTGACCTGAGGCAACATGCAAAATACAAGGGACATAAAATGAAGGAAAAATGTAATTCTGGAAGTTCAAATAAACTTTCGAAATACTTTGTTAATTTAGACAATAAAGAAGAATATGACAACAGCACCGCGTGCGAACTTGGTTTAGTGTATCATGCAGTGAAACACAACTTAAGTTATTCCAGTCTGGATTGCGGAAATAAACTTGTGTCCCATACTTTCAGTGATTCCGAGATTGCTTCCAAACTTTCATGTGGATGCACTAAAGCGGAAATGATAGTGAAGTATGTTCTTGCTCCTAAAAGTGTAAATAACTTTGTGTCTATTTTAAGATGTCCAGAAAATACTTCAAAATTTTTTTCGTTGGCTACCGATGCATCAAACAGAAGCAACCGAAAAATGTTCCCTGTTTGCATCCGGTACTTCGACCCTTTAAAGGGAGTGCAGAATAAACTTCTAGATTTTGTTGAAAGTGCTGAGAAAACATCTATGGCAATTACTGGTTTTGTGCTGCAGAGCTTAGAAAAGCACAACCCAGAGGAAGCAGTGTTGCTTGAAATCTACTTTAATTTCTTAAGTAATATTGGAAGTTGTACTCGTATTGCAGTTCTAAAATCCAGCAGAGAAGGAAAGACAACTTTTGATAGAAAAGCAAAAGAACTCATTAATGGATTGTCTATGCCATTACAGAAAAAGTTTACTGAAGACCTGAACAGCTTTTATAGCAATATGCTTCAGTATCTGCAAAAAAGATATGATGTGACAGATGACAATCCCTATGCATCCCTTGCAGCATTTTCACTGCAGGAAGGGATTGAGTTCAAAGATTTTGAAAAAGCCATAGAAGTGTTTCAGCTAAGTGAAAATGTTTGCATTGATGACCCATACGAGTTCAGCAGCCGTCGAGATTACCTCTGCAACAGTGTGAACAGATATGGTGATTATGTAGCAAACTGGCTTACATTTCTTTCTTCAGTACCTGAGCATGATGTACCAAATATTTCCAAAGTGGTAGGATTTTTGTTTAGCATCCCTGGCTCAAGTGCTTTCGTGGACCAAATCTTTTCATTCATGAAAAGTAAGTGGAGTGACACAAGAAACATTTAATCAAGGCAGAACTCTAGGTGACAGTGAACTATGAAAGCAAGTCCTGTTCAGAATTTTATAAATTTTCAAAGGGTGATGTTCAATTATTAAAAAGTGCTAAGATTTCAGTGATATACAATCAACAGAATCTAATCTACCAGCCCTTGAAAGTTATAAATATGTAATATTTGATATTTGTGTGTTCTACAAATGTGTGCTAGGTAATATTTTGTGCATTCTATAAATATGTAATAGGTCTACATAATATTTGTTTTCTTCTATAAATGTGTAGTAGGCCTATGTAATACAGATGTGTAGTAGCATTTTGTAAGTTATGTAGTATGTTGATTATGTATATTTTATAGCCAGTTAGTTGTGAAAAATGTTGTTATAAACAAGCAACGAGACATCACTCCTTTTTTTATCTTACAAAATCTAGCAACCCTCTTGTGAAGTGTGAGGAAGGGAGGACGCATAGGATGGTAAGGTAGCATTCTATTTTATTGATTATGCTGTCGGTGCTGGTGTCAATTTCCCATTTAGTAAGGGGACGTGTGCGTAGGGATGGCAGCAGTATTGCCATGTGACGTCACCGCGGCCATATTGCCCACCATTTCAATGTGACATACGAATGTTTAAGGTTGTAATTGTTGACACATTAGGACACGTATATTTAAAATCTGTTAAAATGTGTGTGTGTATATATATATACATGTACATATATGTGTGTGTGTAGCATACAGCATTAATGAATATTATTATTATTACCAAAAATTAATATAACTAATACGTCTTCGGATGTAAATCCCATTTTATTATTCTAAAGAACCAGTAATGACTCTTTCACAGTCTGTCTTAGTGCCTTAGCGTGACACAAGTTTAATTTTTGTGTGACCACCTGTAAACATTCAGGGACGTCAGCTATTGAAATTCTTCTGCATTTAAAGTCTGTAAGACGTCACGGAAACGGATGCGGTCCCCAAGACAAAATCCCGCAGTGCTTGCTTGAAGGTGTAGTACAGAGCTCTTCTGCTTCGGCGCTTATGACGCGTATAAAAAAGAGCAAAGTGTGTGAGGTCCTCAGTTGATGTAGTGCATGCGCTGGTTTCAGTACGCTGCTGTGAGCCACAGTCCGGCAGATGCCCGCTGCGACGCGCAACGCCAGCGCGCGCTCCCGGCAGTGCAACCCCACGCGGGTTCGTCGCTGTCTGCGTATATTCTTCGGTCATCTTTTTTCTAATCTTGGACTTTTTGCGCTAGTGGTTGGCTATGTTCTTCTTGGAGCCCTCCTGTTCGAGTTCCTGGAAGCTGGTTACGAACTGGAGCAACGAGGCCACATTCAGCGCTATCGCGAGGATTGTCTCAAGGAGCTCTGGCTTATCACAGGTAAGACGATCTTGTGGGCTGTGTTTGTGAGAAGCTTAGTAAGGCACGCGGACATAGGCCGTCTCGCCGCGGCTTCGCGAATGTAGCACGCGTTCCTAACAGGGATCACTTCAAAGAACTGGGGTCCATTGCTATAAGTTTGCTGGAAAAGTATGTAAACTGAAAAGTTTACGGATGATGAAGTTCGTGTTTTGTTATATTTTATTTTTTGTGTTCATGATTTACTTAAAAATGCTGTCAGTAACTCATATCTTTTACTGTCTATTGGTAGAATAATAGTGAATAATGAATTGGAAAGGATGTGAAAGGAGGCGGTTGTGACTTGATCTGAAACATTATCCCGGCATTTCCATGAAGGAACTAGGTAAAACCATGCAATCATCAGTCAGGATAATCGGTGTTCCGGCCGAGATTAGAAACTGACACTTTCTGACGACACAGTGTTATTTATTACAACGTAGTACTGTGTGACAATAGACGGGGTTTAGATCGGATGTTGGATTTATTGACCACTTATAAAAGCACTTACAGTGTCACCGCTAATCACCACAGCTCCTGCTAAGCATTTTCCAGCCCGCTGTGTCTTTAACAGCCATCCCCTGGCGACGTCTCCTAACAGTGGACATTATTCAGCTTCATGCTCTCAAGTTATCTCTTCACAGACTGCCGTACAGAACTGAGTCTAACCTTGTCTCTTGCTTATAACGTCTCAGGATGGACCACATAGAAAACACAGCTCTTCTATTGTTGCGTTCGTGTCTGTTGCATCGGGAACGAGTTTACAGAGCCGTTGCCCAGAAACGGCTCTGGTATATCCGCCCATTTCGTGGTCTTTGCATATCAACGGCTCTACACGCTACAATATTGTGGCATGACGGCTGAAAGCCGTAATTATATACTTTATATATGTACCCTATATGTCTATTTGCCGATCACAGTGGCCGGCCGCTCAGTCTAAGGCATGAACTGTATTCGCTCGCTCGAACACTGGGATCGTGGTTTCGAATCCCACTCAAGGCATGGCTGTCTGTATTGTCTGCGTTTATTCTGTGTTTGTGTTCTGTGTATAGCCTTGCAACGGGCTGATCCTCCGTGCAAGGAATTCTGCCCGCTGTGTAAAGAGTCAAGAAACTAAAAAGCGGCGAAGGCCCAACAGAGGGCTGTAGAGGGGCCGCGCCATAGCTCAAGCGGTTAGTCGCAGGCTTCCCACAGCGGCGGCCCGGGTTCGATCCCGGGTCTGGTCAAGTGCGATTTGTGGTGGACAAAGTGGCGCTGGAGCAGGTTTTCTCCGAGTACTTCGGTTTCCCCTGCCAATCTTCATTCCACCATTTGCTCCACAGTCACCCTCACCTATCATCTGGGGCTGGTACAATAGGCCAGAAGTGGCCGCAGTACAAGGGACTTAGTCCCACCCCACTAGCAATAAAAAAAAGGTCTGTAGAACCATAATAATAATAATAATATGCCAATTTACGGCACTAACTATGAGAAATATGTAACCAAACATCGTCATAATAAGTGCAGATGGACAGAACGCGAGGGCTTTAGAAACTGGATCCCAGTGAAGTTGTTGTCGGTCTCTGCTTTGGTTTCTGAGCGTAATGCAGCTTGGCTGGTTGAACGCTCCCATAGTGCAGTGCTCTGGCTGTCAGTAGTATGGAGCCTGTTGTCGCGTTGTGTACCAGACTTACTTGCCCCATTAAGAATCGCTCGCAGACCGAGATGTAGGGTAACTCGATTCACGTTGTGCTTTCTGTTACTGTGATTCAGTGCAGTTCAGTTCTTCCCATCACAATGGCCGCGCATGAACCGTCTTCGCCCGCTCGAACATTAGGATCGTGGGTTCGAATCAAACTTGAGGTATGGAGGTTTATGTGCATTTATTCTGCGTTTATGCTGTCCTTCGTGAACGTAGCGGCCTTGCGACGGGCTGATCCCCCGTCCAAGGAGTCCTACTACTGTGTAAAAGAAAGAAACCGAAAAAGAGGCCAAGGCCCAACAAAGGGCTATGGAGCCATAGACAGATAGAGAGATGTAATAATTCTATATTAATGTTTTTTAATTAGGCCCTGTAGTGTCCGAAAATTATTTTCAGAGATGAATCTTCTAATGGAAAGTAGAGGTGGGGTAAGTAGAACTCTGGCTCGGACTGAGGATTTCAATATTTTCCTCGGCCCCACCAGACAGATGTCAAGTGTCGTCAGGGTAGTGCCTCAGAATGAGCAACATCACACTGTGTGGGGAGATTTGAGCTTTTAACGACTATGATGATTCATATTGTTGTTTTCTGGGTTATGTCACCGTGTAGTGTGGTACGTGGGAACCAACGTTTTGATGGATCGCGATGCCTCCATTCTCAAGGTGGAAACTGTTTTCCAGATCTAATACACGTCTTATATCAGTAATTTAATTCCAGAGAAAGCTCTGCGTAGTACTTTGGAATGACAACTGGCAGTTTAACGGTTGCACATTACGGCAGTAACATGTTGCTAATCCCGAACTGCTTACAAGCACCGCTTCACTAATTGAGAAATGCCTGGAGAGAGAGAGAGACAGACAGGGTTTGTCTGCAGTTGAATCTCCACATTGCGAGAAATTGTATGCGGAAGAAGTAGTGACCACCACCACATCAGTAATCAACTTCGTAGCAGCCTTGACGGACAAATTAACCCTTTAAATACTGAGCCCGAATCAGAGTCAGAGCCAGAGTCAGAGTTACTTTACGACTGACCGTTTACCGCCAATAAGTTCATCTTGGCGGCAAGCCCCTTGAGACCTACGACACAGAATTTCTATTTTCCAACTGAACATTTGCGATTATAGGCCTTATGTAACAACCCATCTGACGAGAGGACGGGTCTGTTTACAATTGCTGTTGGGCCTCGCCAGCGCAGTCATTCTCGGGTCCGAGTCCCGCGGGACTCATGATCACATTTTACCCTCTCAGAGTCGAGACTCCCTCAACCTAGAGAGCCAGGTCTCCGTATTTATATCCCCCTAGGAACAGTTATATCCTCGTATTGGGGTCCATTTTCGTCGCCTCCTACGCCTCGCAGGGCTACGGTGGAGGCATTCGAATCCCGCCTCCACAGGGGATTCTGCCTCTTAAACACTGAATCTTGTATTATGAACGACTGTCAGTCTACCAGTCTGGGACTTACGACCAGATTTTTATTATTGCCAGACAGTTACAGGTTTGTTGACGTGGGGCTCTTTCTCTGACGAGAGGATGGGTCTGTCGTTTACAATTGCTCCTGGCGCTCGCCAGCGCAGACTTTTTTGGTCCGAGTATCGTGGGACTCATGACCATATTATACTGTCTCAGATTCGATACTTCCATTTTCATCGCCGCCTACTGCTCGCAGGGTTACAGTGGAGGTATTCGACCCCGCCTTTACACGGGAGTTAAAGACTGAATTTCTTCTAAATGATATGTAAACATTCAATTCGTACCTCACAGGAAACACATTACATCTCCGCTACAAAGCCCAACCGGTTAATGTTGTTTAGGGAAACAGTCGCTGTTTATTGTGAGAACAATACGGAACACATAAATACACTTTGTGGGCAGAATGCAGAGTTTAGTCCGTACCTCACAGGAACCACATTACGTCTCCGCTACAAAGCCCAACCGGTTAATGCTGTTTAAGGAAATAATCGCAGTTTATTGTGAGAACAACACGGAACACACAAATACACTGTGTGGGCAGAATGCAGAGTTCAGTTCATACCTCACAGGAAACACATTACGTCTCCACTACAAAGCCCAACCGGTTAATGCTGTTTAGGGAAATAATCGCTGTTTACTGTGAGAACCACACGGAACACACAAATACACTGTGTGGGCAGAATGCAGAGTTCAGTTCGTACCTCACAGGAAACACATTACGTCTCCGCTGCAAAGCCCAACCGATTAATGCTGGTTAGGGGAACAGTCGCTGTTTATTGTGAGGATTACATTTAAAGGGTTATTACACGATACGTACTGCTTCTGGGTTGTAATGCCGGGTATCTGGGAGACAGCCCGACGTTGGAAAGAACATACCGTATCATGTCCGGAACCTAAGTAAGAAACTACCAGAAGCGAGCGACAGCTTAAGTTTGTTGCATAAGAGATTTAGGAGCCGGTACATTGTACCTTAACGGTAGCATTATCGCCAAACCATTTTGTGTTTCATTGATCACCCAGGATTTGAGAGTACAGCATATCGCAAAACATTACTTAAACTCTGTGAGCTCTGTATTGTATGTAAATTGACATTTGTTTCGCGCAGAGTTCGCTTTGGGCCAGAAGGACATTCACCTGATAACCTGTGACGTGGATCCCCAATCTGTATTACAGTTTTGTGGGGCGGATTGGCATGACCTCCATATTATACACAACTGCTTTCTTGGTGTATGACTTGCAACAGATCGGAGAAGCCGTGAGACCCGGCGCAGTTTTTATAATCTTACTTTTTATGGCCGACTCCTAGACAGGCCGCATGTTGCTTCGTGCTGATTGGCTGTGCGCGTGTTCTGGTATTTGTCTACACAAATAGTGGACGGTCATCAATCAAGTTGAAAACCAATTTATTTGAAGAAAAAAGCAAACCCCATTAATGGACTTGATAAACCTCTCGAAGACCCAATAGCTGTCAAACGCTCTCATGCCTTCCCACTACAAATTGAAGTGACTCAGCGGCCACATATTGGCCCCCTGTTGGTAGCTTCTGCAAATATTTGTCAACGCCGAATAAACTGTTAACTAATGTCTTGAGAACGGTGTCGGGCCTGTGGTTCCAGCCCCTGTGATTGATCAGTGTGTAATTTGTTACGTTACGATCGGTAACGTAGTTGGTCGACGCAATGTGGTACAAGCCGCAGGGTCGCAGGTTCAATTCCCAATGAGGTCATTACATTGTTCAATTGATATAATCTTTGGAGCCCACTATGGCCCTGGGGTCGACTCAGCCTCCAACAGAAATGGAGTACCAGGAATCTTTCTAGTGAATAAAGGG